ACGGAGTAGAACTGCCCCCATAGGGTTTCCAAGGCTGTAATTTTTACACAAGTAGACTACCTCATCCTTCTCCCAGACAGCTGCTAGTGTGTTCAAACCACTGGCCTTTAGTTTAACAGCCAAGAGTTTTAACCACTGTGCCACCAGAGCTCCTTCAGTAATCAAATTGAACTCCTCAAAGTAAATTGAGAAATGACAAATTAATAGTAGGGAACATAACAGCATGTAAATAATTCCCCCCAACTATAACATACTGATTTAAGATGCTGTAACTGTGTCATTTAGATTCTTCTTAGAGATGGGCAAGAAAGCGACCCCAAAGGCCCAGAAGTGAATTACATTCTTAGGTCTACTCTCGGAAATTTTCCAGTGATCTCAATATGTCTGCCCCTGCCAGGAACAGATGAAGAGTACCCCTGAAGTTCTTTAACTGATTTCATGTTATAGTTAACATCTGTGGCCCCAAGACCCAGTACACCCCAAAGAAAGTATAAAACAGGGCAAAGCACAGTACACAAGTTATGCGTTATCTGTCAATGGCTCTGTGGGATGTCCTTCCTTACCTCTACTGCCCAGACCCAATCTACGCCCTCCTCTCTAACTTCCAGCACCTACCAGAACACTCCTGACTAGCTGAACTCTTGAGTATTGACGCCTTTGGATGAGGCAGATCTACCTTCGACAGATGGAATAGCCTCAGCCTTTTCTAGCTCCCTCACTAGACTGTGTATTTGGTTCCATTATTCAGGTACAACAGAAGCAACTGGTAAGGAAATGAATTGACTAATATAAGAAAATAGTCTCATTACTACTACTACTAGCGTGATGAACCAAGGGAAAACAGAGCTCCAAGACACAGGTATTCATGTTTACCATTGTTCACCAGTAACTTTTAGTCCTGTAAAACCTGAGTGTTTACAGACAATTTCCCAAACTGATACACACGTCAGGAAAAAGAAAGGATGTGGAATTCAAAGGAGGCAATTGTCCCTTTCATCATGGGAAACTGCATGCACATATTTTCCCAGATCCCAAGAAGCAGCATCACAATCTACTGTACAATGTGGTTACTATTCATTGCTCACTCACTGCTATCTAGTCAATTCCCACTCATAATGACCCTCACTGGGTTTCCAAGGCTGTAAATCTTTATAGAAGTAGATTGCCCCATCTTTCTGCCATGCAGCAGCTGGTGGGTTTCAACTGCTGACCTTCCAGTTAGCAGCCAAATGCCTTACTCACTGTGCCACCAGAACTCCTTAGTATTCATTGCAGGTATTTTTAATTCTTAATATACCCTGTCTTTAAAAAAGAACCATATCCCCTAACAAAGTACTTGCACTTATAGGAACATATCTTAAGGAAATAAGAGATGTGAAGGAAGATTTTTGTACAGAAATGTTCATCACATTATTATTTCTACTAGTGAAAAACAAGGAAAAACACTAATGTCGAACACAGGCAAATAATTAGACTACAGGCCATTCATAAAATGAATAGTATACAGCCACTAATAGCAAAGAAAAGAGCTCATAATATGATGGCACGTGGAAGAGACAAAAAACCATATATATAGTATGAGTCCCGCCTACCCCAAAAGTGACATGCAGAAAAAAGAAAAAACGTTAAGTGTTTATCTCTGAAGGATGGAATTTGGGCCACTTATTTTCATAGTGATGCCGCCTTGGAAACCCAAGGAGGGGTCGCTATGAGTCGAAATAGATTCAACAGCAGTGAGTTTGGGTTTTGGTTTGGTTTATTTTCTTTAGACTTTTCTGTAATTTCTAAACTTTTTACACTATGTATATTACTTTTATAATTAAAAAAAGTTAAATGCAGTTTAAGAAAAAAATCAATGCAAAACAGGATTCAATTAATTTTCCTAAGGCTCTCCCAGGTTTTCCAAGAAGCCACAGCTGATATGCAATGTTTCTGCCTGATGAAGCCAACGGACCCAGCGGAAACAGAAAGCACCGGTTCTCTACTAATCAATTTCTTTTCTAGAGCAATTTGAGATGACAGAAGCAACACATCCTACACAAACTTCCCAATTTTTGAGTCTCATTGTAGCAGATGAAACAACAGATTTTCTGTTCTCAGTCCCCAGATCTGAGGGCAGGAAGCCAAATATTTCCTCACTGGAGTCAATCTTCTTATGACTCACCAATATCAAGGTCTGAGAATCAGCACAATGGAGTGTAAGGTATAAATCTGGCACGACTTGTTGCCAAATGTTTTAATTTCAAATAGTATAGGAAGAAAGTGCTGAATGTGTGTGAATCCAGGCGACCTTGATACTTTATAATGAGTAGTGTGTCAGTTAAGTCCAAAAACGTCATTTAAATCCAGATATAAGTCAATCAGCATAAAAGACTATACACAGATAAGAGACTACATACATCTCTCACCCCAGCCAGAGAAACAGGGAAGGCAATATATATACAGTTTACTATAACCCTTCAGTGCTCTGAGACAAAACAACATCATTCTCTTGATGGTACATTAGTAATGTTATCTTTTTATGCAAAGAGTAATACATTTCATTTTACTTGCAATGATACATTTTTTATATGTATGATATTACACAATGCAGTAATGACCAAGGAAAACATTATAAAATTTGCTAAGCAATTAAGGCTAGTACCTTGAACACATCTAAAGTGGCTATTTATAGGAATGATATCTTGAACATGCTGTCCCTTTTCGTGCAACTGGATTATTAACCTAGGAAACAGAATAATGTGTCAATGAATAGTTTGTTGAAAAACCCAAACATTTAGCAACAAAATACAGCACTGTTTTGTTATATAAATCTCATCTGTATTTATTAGACTTGAGGTATTTAGTTCTCTGAATCTAAGCATTATACATCCAGATATTGCTCTAGTTCTAAGAGGATGTTACTGGTGATCAGGATCTGAATACTGACACTTTAACAGTGTTTGTCTGAAAAACAGCTTACAGTCTTCAGAGCATGAAATACACATGATACACTTTCAGAGTATGCACACCAGAGTGGAACCAAGAGCTTGATGTGCCCTCCATGAGGGCACAGACCTCGTCTGCCTTCTCAACACAGTATTTCTAGCACCTAGCACAGTGCCTGGCACATAGCAGTCACTCATGTTTGTTGAATGAATGAATTAGAAAATTCACATGTCAGCTTTCCAATTCTATTCCCATGGCTTTTACCAAAGAATGGTCCTATTTCTTCAAACAAGTATGCAAGTTCATGGAGAAGAGAGGGTGGCCAGGCAGCCAAATCAGTCAAAATAAGCCAGTGACCAGCAAGGTAGCAGATATCACAATCAGACTGACTTCACATCTCTTGTGCTTCTACTTTGGTTTCCAACTTCATGCTGGAATTTCTAAACAGGGATTACTGAACTTGGCTCTCCAGTATAAAATGCAAGACTTCTAAAATCCATATGCATTCAATTTACTACTTCTCTTTAGTGGCCCAGACTCAAGGTAAAACCTACTGGTAAACAACCAATCTGATGTCTCCCAGCTTGCCCAAGTCAAGTACTCTGCAAGTGGTTCTTTTTGCCAGAAATACCCCTCTCTTTTCTTTTTCCTGGAGAATGTCTACTATCTTTCAAGGCCCAGCTCAAATACCACCTCCTCTGTGACACTTTTCCCAATATAGGCAGAAGCAATGGCCTTGTCTCCTTTGCTTGCCTCTCTAGTACAGCATGTTATTTATAGTTATATTTATCCAGAGTTATATTTATTTCCTCTCACTGATTTGACCTCTTTGAAAGCAAGGACCCTATTAAATTCAGTTTTGTCTCCTGCCTAGTAGGTGTTCAAGAAATATTTGTTGAATGGATGAACTAGCTTAATTAAGCTATAGAGAGGCTAATTTTTAAATATGTTGAACTTCTGACATCAAAAGTATTTGTTTAGAAGGTTGTGATTGTTATTGTGTTGTCTTTTGAGGGCTTATTGTTCTAGCTTTTTGGATTTTTAAATGTGTTGATTGTGAAGGGGATAACCTGGGAAAGGAATTCCTAAGAGAGAACTAAACCTAAACCTACCACTGCCATTGAGTTGATTCTGACTCATAGCTACCCTACAGGACAGAGTAGAATTGCTCCATAGGGTTTCCAAGGCTGTCAATCTTTATGAAAGTGGACTGCCTCATCTTTCTCCTGCGGAGTGGCTGGTGGGTTACAATCACCAACCTATTGGTTAGCAGCTGAGCACTTTCACCACCATGCCACCAGGGCTCCTAGACAAAACTAAAGGAAATAAAAGTACTAATGCTGGCTTTCAGTGATGATCTTGTTTGCCTAATTTGCGGAGGTTCACCTTTTAAGGTAACTGGAGAAAATAGGGTAGGCCTTTTCAACGCAGAAAATTCATAAATCAGAGAGCCCCGTAGACCCACATGGAGATCAGCAACTTGAAAAAAAGCTTACTTATCAAGGGTCAAAGAAGAAAAGCTTACTTTGAGGAAAACTACCATACTCCTACATAATCTCAAAACAAATAATGTAGGATAGAAATGATATTGAACCATTTCAACTAGACTGTATTCAGTCTGGAGGCTGCTTTCTAGTTGCAACCAGACTATATTGCTAAAGTCATCACAAAACAAAGAAACTGGGGATTTAAGTCAACTCCACAAACATTTCTTTAATAGTCACTATGTGTTAGTCACTATATTTAGTAGTGAAAGAATAGGGCTAAAAATAAGCATAAAAATTCTACCTAAATGTAATGACTTGTTTTAGAAGAAAAGGTACATGGCAAAACAACAGAATCAGAATTTGGCAGTTTCAAACAAAAAAGAGTATTTGACAAACTGTCACTGTCGACTCAGCATTATCCCTAGGAGAAAAATGCTTTGATTTGTTCCAGGTTCAAGGTGAATCAACAGCTTCTATCATAATCCATTATCCCTGAAAAGAAAAAATGGAACCCTCGTGTTTGACTCTCAATCCCAAAAAACTTATAGTTAGCTGTAATTTTGGCCTTTCAAGTAAAATTCTCCTATGGTTGTGAGCAAGAGCTACAGTCTTAAAGATTAAGCTAGGCTTCACGTTTTAGGATAAAAAGGCCAAAAGTTTTTTAGAAAAAAATTCTGGACACCCAAGTCAGAGAAGGCACCCAAAAGACATGAATTTGAGATTCTGGGTAGTATTATGGTATTAGGGAGTCTCCAGGAAATGATTTCCAAACTTCTGAAATAACGTATTTCTGAGCTAGGTTACTGACTGAGACTGAAGCCGCCTTACCCAGCTGGTAGGGAGCACAGAGTAGCAGCTGGGAGCTGGGACAGCAGAGCTGTGTTGCAAAACTGAGCGGTGACACTTCCTGTGAACAAGTGACTTACCTTCTCTGTACCCTCAATTTCTACACCTATGGAAGAGGGTGATGATGAACATTTTACTATTTCATAGTAATCCTCATCTGAGGGCTAAATGAACTGATTCATGAAAAGTGCTTTGAACAGCATCTGGCACATATTAAGCCATTAAATGGTGGTTGTTGCCATAGTAATTCATACAGAATTAGAACATAAGAATTTGCTATCTCTGTGGGGAGGATACAAATAGTCAGGTAACCTACTGTTGTAAGTTTAAAAGTACTTCTAGTAAAAGAGCTCAGATAGGATGAGGTACTTATCTCAAGGCCAGGGGCTCACTCACTCATTAGCTGAGCAGCATTCCAAACCTACCAAACAAGGGACCAGATCCTGGGCTGTGGTCATCTCAGGAAGGGAGCTATTTTCTTTAACCCTCATAATCTTGTTTTCACAGAAGTAACTGAGGCACAAAACATTTACTGGTTTGCTCAAAGGTCACCTTTCAAAAGTGGCAGAACTACACTAATCTACAGGTGGATACACAGGTAGGGAAGATAAATGATCAGGTATGGGCAGGCAAAATGATCAGGTATGGGCATGACCATACATAAGTTTGGCAGATGATATTTCTATATACGTATGTGTGTGTGCTATAAGAATGCCCATATACATAATCCAGCTAACAGGGGGCAAAGTTATGATAACTGCTTAGCCACAGCCAAACACCTTGAGGGAGTGAGTCGCTGGGCCTGCAGGCTCAAAATCATGGTCACAGGGGACATCAAACTCAATCAGCTTAACATACTACACAAAAACATTGCTCTACATCCTACTTTGGTGAGTAGCAAATGGG